TTGGTGTAGTTACATGTACCGCAGAAGCCATAACGCGAGAATAACGAACAAATGACGAGGTGAATACAGGACAAGCTACTTAACGCTTGTCCCCCTTACGCTGTGCTTTCACACCGTCAAACAGTGCGTTGATGGATACCTCCTTTCAAACTACTGTTCTCGCGACCGTACAAGCGTTCTGTTCGTGCGAAGCAACCACCCATGATTCGCTATCACTAAGTATAAAAGGACCATGCTAACACGGTTGCTTTTCCAGTGAACGCGCTTAATGTCTTCATAAGCTCGTGCGTTAGAGGTTCTTTAGTTTCAGTTTTTCGGTATGAGGAAAGCCTTGTACCTGTCTGTCTGTGTGCATATTGCTGCTGTTCATTTTCCTCACCGCTACTCAGCTGATGCAAGCTGCGCAACATTTGATTCCTGATCGTTCAAACAGCAAAACCTGATTGCATGTCTACTTTTGACTACAAATAAATGAATAAATAAATGGTTTTAACCACCTTGCCTTGAAGCGCACATCTGAGTTTCTTATTAGAAACCACCCCGAGGAGGAGGAAGGAGGAAAAAACCTTCATTGATGCTGGCTGTGCCAGATAGCCCTTATCCCCACCGGGCTGGTTGACATCCCTAGTCCGGGACGTCATTAGTCGAGGCCGCCACCCGAGCCCGCTGCACTAGAGTTCGCTGTTCCTCTAGTGTGGAGCTATTGAGTAGGGCCGTCTCCCAGTCCTCTTTGGGGGGGTTGGGAAAGGGGGTTAATTTTGGGTTCATTTGGCAGGCCCAGACCATATGGTAAGTGTTGGCCACTTCCCCACAGTACTGGCACTGCCCACTTATTTTAGGGTCATAATATTTTAGTATGGCTGGACAGAGCAGCGTATTTGTCTGTAGGCGCCGCAGGATGCGCTCCTCCGTTTTCGAGAGTCCCTTCGCTGGTGCGGGATACAAGCGGCGTTGCTCAATGTAGTATTCTTTGATTTCTCGAAACCGTGTTAAAGGTGTGGGACGTTCAGGTCTATCAGGGGAACGGGGAGTTTCCCGGGAAGTAAGCACGCGGGCCGCTGCATGTGCAGCCTCGTTACCCTGTAGACCCTGATGTCCCGGAGTCCACATAAGACGTTTTGGGGTAGGATCGCGGTTCCTGATGCTGAATTTTAAAAGTCTAATAGCCAATGGAGAGATTTCTCCTGCAAGATAGCTCTCGCAGGCTCCTCGAGAGTCTGTAACTATTTGTTTTGAGTTTGGATGGGATACTGCCAGTGCAATGGCCACCTCCTCCGCCTTAATTGAGCTTGTGGCTTTGAAAGTGAGGCCGTCCACCTGCGTTCCTTGATGTATTACCGCCGCCGTGTAGTATCCCCTAGGTGACGGCCCGGCCACATCGACGTAATAGACCCCATTACGGGAGCCAAGCCGTTGTTCAAGTGCCTCAGCGCGCGCTTGCCTTCTACCCTATTGCGCCTCCCTGGTCATATTGCGGGGAAGCGGGGACACCCAGAGTTTTGTTCTCCAAAGTTCAGTAATACGCTCAGCGTTTTCGATTTCGCATTCGCGCCGGATCAAGAGGCGTTCCAGTAGGCGCCGCCCGGGGGGCGTCTGCGTAAGACGCGTATATTGATTTGTGAGGTGGGCTTCTTGGAGCTCTTGTATAGAGTTAAAGACTCCCAATGCAGAGAGTTTCTGATTTGAAGTGCTGATGGGTAAATCAAGTGCGCGCTTAATTACTTTCCTAAGAATAGCATCGACTCTGTTCTCTTCGTGTTCAGTCATTCGTAAGTACGGTATTGAATATAGAATCCTGCTAGTTACAAAAGCATTGGCGAGCCGAATCGCGTCCCTTCCTCGTAGCCCACCGCGCTTGTTTGACACTCGGCGGATCATGTGCCCTACCTGTTCTCCAATTTTCCGTAGCTTGTCTAGCGTGGTGCTGTTTTTTGTTCTGTTGTGAATCAGAAGGCCAAGGATTCGTAGTTCTGAAACCTCTCGTATTGTTGATCCTGATACCATCAAGTTCAGGGTCGTCCTATCTTTAATGTTTTCTCTGATATGCAGGAATTCAGATTTGGTTGGAGCGCACTGCAACCCACACTGGGCCGCATAGTCCTCCACAATGGAGGCGGCCTGCTGCAGGCGGTCTTCAATTTCTCCTAAACTGCCCCGATTCGTCCAGGTTGTTATATCATCGGCGTATATTGTATGATATATTCCTTCCACTACTGCCAATGCTTGCGGGAGCTTCATCATGGCAATGTTGAAAAGCAGCGGAGACAGGACAGCTACTTGCGGGGTTTCCCGCGTCCCCATTTTGAATGGTCCATGTTCCTCGTTATCTATGCGAATGAACGCCAGTCTTTCAGAAAGGAAGTCTCTGATGTAGGCAAATACTTTCTTACCGCAATGGACACTACTCAAGTTCTTCAGTATGCTTTCATGTTTAACGTTGTCGAATGCGCCTTTAATGTCGAGTGCAAGGATTGCTCTGTCGTTGTGCGTCGAGGGAATGGGTTGGATAATGTCTCGTTTTAGTTGCAAGAGGATATCTTGCGCACCACCCCGAAACCAGTGCCCGAAACAGAGCGAAACCGTTGAACTCGCCGATGTAATCTTGACTGCTACGTTTTTAAACCGTCTATTTCTCAGTGAAAGCGGGAGGCATGATAGGAGGAAAGAAACAAAGAACACGCGAAATTTGTAGTGTAATAAAATCCAGTTGTTATCTAAAAATGGCTGTTCGTGCTAACTTTAGTGATGGTACTTTCGATGAGCAGGTGATCCGTCACCACCGCTCGTCCACTATCCCATCGCTATACACCTGCATCACGGAAAAACAAAGAGAAAGAGTTTACCTGTGATGAGAGGTGCACTTATATCGCTGGGGTCGAGTGCGATGGGTCGTGTGTGATTAATGAGCGTGCGCCCGCACCGTCGTGATTGGTTTACGCGTTCAGAAAGATAAAGAAAAAAAAAGAACGAAAATGCTGAACCGCGAGTAGCCCTCGCGCACTCAATTTCATCGCGCCGTGTTGGAGCATACGTAAAACCTGTGCCTTGCCACTCCCTCTCTGCTTTGTAGAGGCAGTGTGTAGCTTAATCGCGACGCTCTCTTACGTGATAGCATCTCGGCGATGCATCTCCAGGTTTTAATTATCGTACCGCGGCGGCTCCATTACAGGAATCTCAAAATAATGAAGGCCGCACTACGTGAAAATAAATAAATAGCAAGGTGCAGTCAGCAGGATGTGGTATATTTTACGAGGAAAGTTCGTGATGCGAGAGATGTATACTGTGGCAAGCAAAGTTGAAATTACGTACAATCGAGCTGGTGCTAAATTAAAAAAAAATATTCTGCCTTAAATATTTTTGGTGATATTGTCGCCATCCGTGGATTCTGAGAGGCACCACCAATGCCCGACAGTTTGTAATGAATGTGTTTGCAGTGATCCTTAGATATTCCTCCGAGTGAAGGAGCTGCTGCACAGTAATATTCAATTGTCTATTAAGTTCTCAGAGGCTGCTATTACTACTTCCGGACTTGAAGAACAACTATGGTCAGTTGAGCGGACCCGCGATGCAGCAGAGAGACTTGGCCTTCCTGTATACCTAAGTGGGAGCGGCCCGCAACGTGCTACAGCGCGTTCTGAGGGACCACAATAAAGTTTATTGATTCATCCATCCATCTATTGAGTTCCGCGCTTTTAAAATTTAGTGTACGGTGCTGTATATCCTCATTCAGGTGGCTATTGGCCACTACGGACAATGAACGCACGAAATTCCATGCAATGTGTGTTTTACGTGGGAACGAGAAGTGAGCGGAATCCCTACTTCAGAGAGATGGAGACTATGTATGACAAACGAGGGAAACCTTTATGCTTCCCCTTCGCTACAGTAAGAAACCGGACGAATTTCTCCCGGTTCAAGTCGCCGTGTCTCAATGACTCTATCTACGCCCACTGTAAGCGAAATTTCTCTTCTCAGGGTTACCCTACATAAGGTCATTCGAGCCACAAACAGTTTTATATCGAGAATAAGCATATGGACTTTTTTTTTAATATATAAGCGCCACGTGTTGCCACAACCATGCGATGTCTGTCATTAAGCTCCTGTGTGCATGCATGCTACCGTTACGGAAAGCTAGAAAGCAGAGTAGACTGTTTTAAATGGAAACTGAAGAGCAACGATGACTTGATTTATATTGACAAACTGCACTCTGAGAACTCTAATGTCGTATGTTTCACTATTATAAGTGCATTATTAGCGGAGGAAATCGAGGTTTGAAGTTTCATTCTTGAATTTCGCGCCAAAATCTTCGCACGTGACTTGAGAAATTTCAAAATATATTTTTAATGTTTTCGTAGAATTGGCTCGAGGAAATTTTCGGAAACTTGAAATGCCAAGTCACCCAGGGATGACAACGTATTCGTTTTTACCGATCAGAAGCTACGTAGGACCCAGTGGATGCCTTCTAGAATTTCTTACGTCACGAAGTTTGGTGCGGGAATGTCACGGTGGCGGCGTCGTCACTCGCATTTTCTTTTCGCGCATATTCTCGCTACTAAGCCTACATTGTCGTGGTACGAGTAGTGTTTTGGGGATTGTGGAATTGTAGTTTACTAATATGCGAAAAAAAAATCGTTTTACTCTTTAGTGTTTTTTTTAAATATCCTAACCCTGTAGGATAGTGTACAGCGTATATAGCAACAACAGCAGTACAACTACTGCTGCACTGAAACGCCATGTCGTCTCCTTCCGTACGCGTTTGGTTCGATTCGCCACTGAAATGTCTTTCATTTTCAAATTCTTGGCTCAAGTTATGTGGTACACCCTGTGCATATCCATATATAGATTGCTAAGTTACGTCAAAATATCGCATCTCACCTCAACGAGCACAACAAATTTTCATTCATCCGGCCTGTTTCGTCCCAAATGAACCACCACATCAACCGCAGACAAACTATAAAGGCCTCGTGTGTAGTTTAGTTCAGTCGACAGTCGTGTACACATACCTTTCTCCTGACTCCGCAGTAGAGCGCGTCGTCTTGTGTCGGGAACAGGGAGATCCTTAGCGACGTGTTGCGTCCCCCCGTGCCGTAGGCGATGCAGGGGCTCCGCCGCAGCTCCTTGACGATGCCCCGGGGGTCGCTGGTGTCCCTGGTGTGCAGGATGCCGTTGAAGGGCTCCTCGGTCAGCACCGAGATGGTCATGAAGCCCTTGTCGCAGTTTGCGGTCACTGCGCCATGAGAGAGAGAAAAATGAAAGCTTCGCCTGCTCCTAGTGCGTATCCTGCTCCTAGTGCGTACTTTAGACACTTAATGCATGGAACCTGTTCGAAATCGCTATGCATTCACTACGTGGCAATAGGATGTAAAGGTGGGCTAGTTATTATTTCATCATTGTTCAGGTGAACTGGAAGAGCGGGAGGAACACGGAGCAAAGAGGAGGCTGTGTGCCTCCTCTTTGCTTGCGTGTGTGTTCCTCCCGCGCTCCCTGTTGGGCGAACAATCATTCATTACGCGGCCTTAAGGGAATAGGCGCTGTAGCGTGTGTGCCTTTTGTAGTGGGTTACCGGCTTTAAACGGCGAAGTTATTACGATAATCACATGTTCTGACGCCTGCGATGACAATGGGCGCTTGTACCTTGCATTATTTCTTCCATATTTCATGCTGTATAGTGGAGCATGTATACAGGACGCGTGTATTCGCGAAGCATGTGTTACTTTCACTGCATTTCCAGGGAGAAGAAGTCATTTTCACTGTATTCACAAGAAGCCGCGCATGGCCTTGCGTAGAACATGTTTTTGCCACGCAAACGACGTGGGTTCGGTCCCCGTGCACTCTGACCCAGGATTTTTTAATTATTCATTTTATTTGCACTGCTCTCGATATTTTGTTCACGCATAAGATAATGATTTCTCGCTCACAACCAACGACGACGACCGCGACGTCGAGAATTTCTGCGGAGCGAGCGCTTTAACGCTATCGCATTAGAAGTGCGCACCGATTAATGCCCGCTTGGTGGTGCTAGAGATTGGTTTACTTATTAAATCATTCGATGCCTCATAAAATGTGCAAATTGACCACATGCGTCGGCTTCAGCACGAGTGATGTGATAAATCATGGCACGATGATTTAACGACACCGCCATGATGGCGCACATTGTCGAATCGGTGACGTCGACATAACGTCACATCACACAATAACGTAGTCACGCGACATGGTTGCTCGGTCAAAGGTCGTTCGATCACGAAGGCAGTGCAAAACCAGGTGAAGGTGCACAGAGCTTGCAATGCCTCCGATCTTGGAGGCAAGTGCTAAACCACTTGAAAGGATGGAAACATTTCGGAAAGGGTAGTGAAGGGTTCAGTACATCGATAGAAGGGAAAACAAGAGAATTGTTAATCTCTTCAAGTCGTCTTTGGCGAATCCGTAAGAGACTGCGAGTTATTATTAGCTGATTGATTGATTTGTGAAACATTGGCTCTTACCCTCATAAGCTAATTCATCTACCAGGTATGTTTGTGTGGCGTCATTATTGGTAGTGTAGTTGCGTCCATATTACCATTGCGACTTTACATATTATTGTGACTGCAACTCAGTATTATCCTTGCACGTATATTCTTATATTGAATGTTTTGTCACAAACTATGCATAAAAGCGTAGAAAAATACGTGTGCGTAACTATGCCACTTCTCTCTGGAACGGGAGTGATTTTCTTGGTCACTCAACTTCCTGACCACCTCCACAGTACGAAAATATTTTCGCCATGTGATCTGTTATACCACAGTGAACCTACTCTCTTTGTCACTCCGGTCACAAAACTATGACGTGCAACGCTGGCCAGCTCTCACATGATGGACCAATTCGAACTCTCCTGCACCGAGTAGAAGGGCTAGCTATAAGGCCTGCCGGACTTATTTAAGGAATGTAAGGATCACCCTCTATAGAACGGAGAAAATGACGACGCCTGCTGTCGTGTCGATAGTTTACTGTCTCCTTCTCTACCACAATGTCTCTCTTTCGGAAGACACTGGGGTGGGGCAGGTCCTTACACCTTTCGAAACCTCAACCAGCACATCAAGGAAGGCATGGACACAAGTGACGCAGCTTGGCTTACGTTGTTGAAGTCGCGGTGTGATGTGGATTCACAGTACACATCAGCAAACATTGAACACTCAATATAGGACTGGAATTTGTGAAAAAAGGAGGCAGTATATTGTGCTTCAATCGTTACTAGATACACTTAGCGTATTCGTCGGCTAGCTGTGATCACCTCGTGCTTAGTCTGTACTAGTAGACGCTGAAAGTTATACGTCCAGTATATTCAAGCTTTCAACAGAAAGCATGACTTCATTATACACGGCGGAACGTGATACGGCTTGAGCTCCTCTGTTCCAGTGCTAAGGAACGCAGAAGTGCTGTTTAAGCTCCCGCGAATGTTCTGTATGCTCTCTTCTTCCTATGTCCTCATCTTTCAATGGCTTAATCTCTTTCACCCAGTGCAGGATAGCAAAGCGGACGCGCGTATGGTTGATCTTCGTGCCCTTTTCTTCTTCTTCCTCCTTCTTTCCAGAGTGCACCCGTAGACTTTCTGAAGCTTGGACTTATTGCCTGAAAAGAACGCTCACTATCGGCTATATCCGTTGATAGATTGCTAATTTGCGTCAAAATATCGCATCTCATCTCAACGAGCACATTAAATTCTCGTTCATCCTGCGTAATTCTGAGAAGTGTGCACCGATACCTTCGAAACATCGAACGGGAACAAGACCTCGACTGCTGCGTGCGTCACATTCTAGAGGCTGTCAAGACAGGGGCCTTAATTGAATCATGAAACGCGTACAGTGACCGTTGCTGGTCACGTGATCACAGATAGCGCCATGATGATGTCGTCACATCATATTATTGATTGATATGTGGGGTTCAACGCCCCAAAGCCACCATATGAATATGAGAGACGCCGTAGTGGAGGGCTCCGGAAGTTTTGGCCAGCTGGGGTTCTTTACCGTGCACCCAAATCTGAGCACACGGGCCTACAACATTTCCGCCTTCATCGGAAAGGCAGCCGCCGCAGCCGGGATTCGAAACCGCGACCTGCGGGTCAGCAGACGAGTACCTTAGCCACTAGATCACCGTGGCGAGGTTTTGCTATAGTTTTTATGTGCAGTGTAATAATCTTGACATAAATGGAAATGAAACTGGACAAAATGACATTGGGACGAAAACTAAACGACCGCTGCTGTGGATCAATTCTGATAAGCATTAGACGCGTTGTACGAATGTTGTTAGTTACCTATCGGCGTCGAAGTTGATTATTTGCCACTTTGATCTGTAATAATTAACAATATACGGGTTTTTACGTCCCAGCACCATGATACGATTGTGAGAGACACTAGTGCAAGGGGCCGGAAATTTCGACTAATGGTCTACTTGAACATGCTCTGAAATTTATTTCAGTTCGTCCCATGATAAATACACCGAGTTTAAAACCAAGAAGGGGGTCACCTATACTGTTTTGCTGTTAGGGTTGTGGCTAACATAGAAAATGAGCCGCTGATTCATTCCTTTTTTTTTTTCGTTATTACCGAAGTTCTGTATTTCTTAGTTCTAACGCATCATAGGCGTTTCACTATGTTAGCTCTTACACGTGCACCAGAGGTTATCTTCTTTGGACTCTTGCGCAAAACATTGCATTTCACGTAGAGCCGGTTGGAATTGTTATAGAAAGTCAATGCTGCACTCCGTACGATGTTTTAACGTGATAGCGTTAGAGAGCTCGTGTCGCAAAAATACCGCCGTCGGCGTCGGTGCACCGTTGGTTGTGAGCGAAAAATTGTCTGTGAGCAAAAAATGGAGAAAGAAGCAAATAAAATAAAGAATAAATTTTCGGTCCCATTGAGGATCGTACCCAGGCCGTTCGCCTGGCAAGCAGGTGTCCAACAATAAAGCCACATGTTACTTGCAGCTGCTTCGGAAAAAAGAGTACTACATAAATACCATGTAGTAGAAGGAGTCTATTTAACACATTTTGTTCGACAGGTGTCACGACGAAAACGAGCCCATTCGGCGATTTGTAGGCGCACTTGGGAGGCCATCAAACTACGCCGAAAAGGCCGGGATAGTGCTGCCACCGCCGCTAAAAACACACAGGAGCTTTCAGAAAGCTCTAAAAATGAACAACTATGTCCATCAAGCGGAAAACATATCATTCCTTTTCAGAGGCGTTGATCAAGCAAACAGCAAACGCTAAATAATGTGCTGCTATCTGTGAGGCATTGTGAGACTCTTTATGGCCTCCTAAATAGTGTCACAGTTCTGTCCATACTTTTCCTTTTCGCATTCCTTTGTTAGCTAAACTGCGAGCGCCTATTCAATGATAAAATATTTCAACTATAAATAAATAAATAAATAAATAAATAAATAAATAAATAAATAAAAAGCGAGAAAGAAGCCAATCTATGGGAAAATACGGAAAAACGAATGTCCCCCTCCTTACGTCACAGCGACCGATTTTACGTGTGTAACACAGAATAAGAAAAGTCCGATATAATATCAATTCTTCGGCCTGCAAGCCATTCTCAACCATAGCGTTTCGATCATACATGCAGGAGGGTATTCTAGGAATGGTCATAATCTATACATATATCTGTATCTCCTGCAGTGTCGATTCCGCAGAATGATCGAGCATGGTTGTCGCATGGAAGTATAGTGATCTAACAGATTTGCGGTCCTGCATAATAAGAATCTACACGGGTTTCTCAAACACGTCTATCGATTTCACCTCGAAACGTGCCTTTCTTGCCGCTGACTATATAACGAGGTCTAGTTTCCGGGAAAAAAATGACCCACTCCTTCACTCTGGGGTAGTTAAGGTAAAAAAAAAATAGATAGAAAACGAAAGAAATGGATGTAGGAAAGCATGCCGATGAATCTACAAGCCCCGAGCACTTTCGTCCAGAGCACACATAATATCTCCGCGTTAAACGAGTCGGCGATCCCTATCACCGCTTGATCTATATAGACGTATTAGCAGGGTATCCGCAGCAAGCGGTTTCGCCGAACGAATCGAGCGCCACACATGGCGTTTTTTTTGTTTAGTTTTTTTTTCTGCTTTCGTATCAATTTTCGTGCTCACACTGAATACCGTAATAACGCAAATTTAGTCGCTCCACGTTTGAGAAAGTATAAGACCGGCAGCATGCACGTCTTGAATAGTAATCGCCTGATATCATAGGAAAAATAACTAGGTAATTATTTAGTTAATCAACTTTACACTAGGAAAGAAGACGCAATTTGACCTCCAGATATTGGAATAATTGGTAGCGAAAGCGCTTAGTTAATGGCGAAAAACGCTTGCAAATGAATACAATATGCTCGTAATGCATGCCCAGCATGCTTTTTTGCGTGTATTTGTTTTAAGCCAAAAAAAGGAAGAAAAAAAACTTGACGTTGGTCCTGGAATGCGGCATGTCGAACAATCGTCGAATATGGTAGTGTCTCCTGCGAAATAAACCTCCGCAGCAATGCGCAGTTAAATGACTGCTATTTGTTCACTCAGAAAGCATGTAGACACTGCGTTTCAAAGCGCTAAAAAACGAAGAAAAAATGTGGTGCGCCACGCACCCTAGTATAGTTCATGTGCGCATTTGTACGCACCACCGCTGACGTGGACTTCGTTCTGAGTTCGATTCCTGATAAATAAAGTGATCGTAGAGATGTCACGTTGAAACGGGCATTGCACACAACCCTACAGAGCGGTGTGGAGATTCTCGAATGCCAGTTTTGCAGCTGAACAGAAAGTTATGCTATCTATACTAGCCCACAAGTTGACCGCTCAAAATAATCGTAGTCAACTTATACTTTTTAAAAGACTTTGATTAGACGACTTGCAATGAGCAAGTCGTCTAAACACACACTCTAAACATGATTTTAAGGATAATCGTATGTCCACTATTTTCTTCTCTCTGCCTTTACATCCTAACCACGTGTTGACAGAACTCCACTGACGCAAGATCAAAGACTACGAGGAGCTTTTACAGAGTCGTTCATTTTCGTCATCGCAATAGCTGACTACTACTCACATGACGACTTTGTTGTCGCGAAGAGGTCTTTCGCTGTCTGTCCGACTGTCGTCGCACAGAGAGACGATCGTATCGTCATTGGGTTATAGCTCGTCTCGAACTGTTATTGGAGTCGCGTATATATTTGAATGCTGGTCCGAAAAGTCGCCGTGGCAGAAGGTGGGTGACCGTCTTTAAACCAAGAAGTCATTATTATAATCACATGTTATTACGCCCGCTGGGAACGAACGCTTGTACAACGCATTATCACGGCAATATTTCATGCTGCGTTGTGAAGCATGTATACAGGACGCGTGTGTTTGTGAAGCATGAAAGCTACTTGCACTGCATTTCCGAGCAGAAAAAAAAAGTTATTTTCGCTCTATTCACAAACAGTGGGGTGACGATCGTTTATTCTGCAATAAGCCGGAGACAATCGTACATGTTTTTCTTGACTGCTGGGTTGGGGTCTTTTTTGGGGGACGTTCTTCAGCGGACTTTCAAAAAAGGACCTGCCCCTTGATGCCTGCGGAGTCAGATTTCTCCCAATCACGAATGAAGAAGGGGTACCATTCGGCCTAGTTATGTTACTGGGGCCTGCACAGTATATATGTCAATCTAGAATGGTCGCAGTCACGCAGATGTTAATGCACATCCAGTGAGACAGTACTTATTTCAATCCATTTGTTCATTCGGGGAAATGAAGAAGGCTTACCATTCGACCTAGTTATGTTACTGGGGCCTGCACAGTATATATGGCAATCTATAGAATGGTGGTACGTAACGATGGTGTTAATGCACGTCCAGTGAGACACTACTTATATCAATCTATTTGTTCATTCGAGGAAACGCAAGAGAGTCAACATGATGTGCCCGAATGGTTTCATCAAGTAGAAAGCCTTCTACACTTCAAGGAATCTTCAAAAGCCTGTGAACTCTGGCGCTAGTTCACCTTTTCTCTTTTGTTTGTGTTTGTCCTTTCTTTAGTGTATATTTCTTCGTGAATGTCGTATGTACATAGGTAATAAAGAAAGAAATAATTAAACTGCACACTTACACGCTGCCAGTGAAAACGTGGCTGAATGAAAAAATCAGTATGCGTACACTGGACTGTGAATTGTAGACTCTGCAACCAACCTGAGACTATAGAGCATTGTTTTATTCATCGTCGTGACGATTTTTATTTTTGGGACATTCTAAAAAGAACGTGAAGAAAAGAACTTCCAATCACAGCTCATGGTATTAGGTTCCTCCCATTTAAACAGAGGCTGACTGATAATACTCCTTATGACCTGTTTATGTTGTTGGGACTTTATTCACTATGGAAAAGTCGCAAGATTGACAGACACGCCAAGCCACCACGGTCGGCGAGATCTGTCTTCCGAGAAGCAGCTGCTCAAGATGTGCAGTGTTGTTGAGACTTTTGACCCCGTTCCGGAGTGGCTTCTCGTTCTTGACGGTTGTGTGTGTTTGCCTGACTTCTGATGAAGTATGTTGTGTGTACTTTACTGGTGATGATTTCATGTATTAAAGAAATAAAGAAGAAGACACGTGGCCGTGTGGCAGAACATCCACTTACCGCGCAAACGACCCGGGTTGGATCCCCACTCGGACCCAAACAACCCCGATTTTTTGTCATTTGCTTTATTTGCATTGTTCTCGGTTTTTCGGTCACGCATAAGATGACAATTTTTCGCGGATAACCAACGACGCTGACGCTGGAATTTCTGCGAAACGAGCTTTCTAATGCTATCGCGTAAATAAATAAATAAATAAATAAATAAATAAATAAACCCGATCAAGTGGCTGTACTCTGGTTTAGAGCTCGTTGTGGTACACAAGTGATGTACTACGATATAGCCTGTTGTGTTGCTGGTTACCACCGACCGTAATCTTGTTTAGAAAAAGTTTATTTACAGCATGTACAGAACACAAAGGCCTCATATCATTCCAGTAACAGGGCACATACACTTCGGCACATCTATATTTCACGCCTAACATCACTACGTTACAGTGAAGACATTTGGCTGTGCTGCATGTTTCTCTGTCTACACATTCTTTCAGGCTGCCCCGTTGCCTAGTTTAGGATAGCGAACTACCGTATTTTCCCGTCTGGTTAAGCTTGCCGCCTTTTATCTTTTTGAACGCTTCATTCTTTCTCCACAAACATAACTAGCGTTGCTTTTCGGTGACCTGTTAAAGCTGCGTTAACACGGTATACTTATTCTCCGTCACTTCCTCTTTCAAGGACGCGTCTCTGAAAATCGCCTACATAAAATGCGCAGGCAAAAGGTACACACAGTTGCGAGGCGGTGCCGGCTCATACCACGCCGGGGAGAGAGTGTTAATTTAAAGGCGATCGCAACTACCCCCTCCCCGCCTCATTCAGTTTCCTCTCCCCACGCACTTGCCCAGCCTACAGACAGACACACTCCATACAGATCGGCCCAGTCGGCGCGCCGCCAAATTACACGCCGCGCTTTTCGCCTCCGCTACCCCGGAGGCATTTTCCGCGTATAATGGACGAGAACAGCCGGAATACATCCACGCCTAAATTAGGCGCAGTCATCATCCAGCCGGGCATTCCTTTTCTTTCTAGGCCACCATTACCGCCGTCCTACCCCACCTTCCTTCTTTCCTTTCTTTCTTTCTTTCTTTCTTTCTTTCTTTCTTTCTTTCTTTCTTTCTTTCTTTCTTTCTTTCTTTCTTTCTTTCTTTCTTTCATATGCAAGCGCATTTCCTGCTCAACGTACGCTCCTTTATAAAATTTGTGGAGGGGTGTTCTTTTGTGTGTGTTCGTGTTTTTTTTTTCTTTTAGTTTTCGTCTCCTATACCTCGGCGCGATTCAATGAGAGCGCACACAAGCGTGTCAGCCCATACAGGGTGCCGTTCTGTAGCTGGGCCCCCTCATTTCAAGGTCGCTGGGTGGTTCGCTTCTGGGAGTTGCCCGCTGCGCCACTGCTTTCATGCGTGCGAGCAGCTCGCGGTTCGTGTACACATTCGCCAGAGACGTGGAAAAAGTTCTGGAAACGTGCGATTCTTTTGCAGTTATGCATGTAACGGACTATTTTGTAATTTGTGTCAAATAATGACGTCTTTATTATTTCCCGCTTGGACTCCAAGAATCTTGACTGGTGTACCCCCTTTTTTTTTTTGGTAATTACGTGGGCTTCAACGAGCTCCCTCAGGTGATCTGTACGCTTGACGAGAACAGATTTGCCTTCAAAGTGAGGCATGCACTTAATCAACAATTTGCAATTCCGCACGTGAATTGGGGAGCTTATTCTTCTAAAATAAATAAACAAATAATGAAATGAAAGCGAACTGCTTATCTGCCTCGCAAGCTGAGCCGCTAAAGCACATGACGCTTACTGTCATGTGCTATGTAGGTTTGACTCCCGGCAGAATAAATTTTTTCTTGTTTTTCTTTCTCATTTGGCAGTGATAATTTTATCAACGTCACATCCGTGACGGAAGTACGTCATTAGTCTTGGTCGAGCCCGGCATAAAACACTTTCGTGCTAAACAAGGAGAAGTTTGCACAAGCCGGGTACACAGCGATGTTGGTTGGTCTTAAGGGTGTAACGTGGCCTTCTCGGCTGAGTCTTTTCCTGGCGTAGACAGAGTAGAACCGCACCGCAGCCTGTCGGAGAAGCTGCGAGAATGTCAAGACCCCAGTGCCAGAAACTAACGTGCAGAAACTAACGGTCGTCGCAGCCTGGACCTGTCGTTGCCGCGAAACTCGGTGTGGCACTGGCGCGGACTGTCTACGTCGGTTGACGCGTCCGATAAGCAGCGGTTCGGAGGGTATTTTTGCGAACACCCGGCGTTTTACCCAAATCTTTGACAGCTTCGATCTTAATAAAACATTACAAGAGTTTTGCGGCTCACCTGTTGGCGAGAATTCAGCGACTTCCTCCTGCTTGGTCTGGCTCTGAAAATAAACAGGAAAAGAGCTTTTGTTGTAGATGCAGTTTGTGTGCACAGCAATCCACTTAGGACGACAATGTTAGTCAGTCACATTGGTGAAATTCAATATGACGTTGCTCTGCTTAAGACAATAGATTGATAAATGACGAGGGAAGTCTGCCTATCGGCGCAATTTCACGAATGAATTGATATGTAACATAGTGCCGTCAGGTTGGCAAATATAATTTGCAGATATAACATCGTTTATTTAATTAGTAATAATTGAATAACAGTAATTTTAGCCTAAGGATAAAATTACTCGTTAAAGAGGGGAGGGCCACGCTACCTACCGAAAGAAAAAGCACGTTTTCCTACAAATTAAAGAAAAATGACACTTTAACAATTCCCAAAAATATATTACCAAGTATATTACAAAACTACACATCAAATATCTAAACGAAAAGAATGTAGTAAGTATATAGGTAAGCAACTTTATTGATTCATGAAGCGGTAAGGATTATGCTGATAATTCATGTTCACAACCTAAGGTAAAGAAAAAATCGGATAGGAAGAAAAAAATATTATATATTTATATACTATAAAACCACGGGATTCAACAGCGCCAACCATATTTTTTCAAAAAAAAAAAAGAAGAATGAAATAAATGCGTGATCTTACGGGGGAGAACGGTCGCTGATTGTGGTGTTAGAATCCATTCGAAAGTGGTTCTTGGAGTGAATCATTTGATCTGACTCATAAACCACAGTTACTATTCCGCCAGCTAGAAGCAGGCAGTTTATCCTCAGATAAGCTGCAGTTGTCTCGCGCATTCGCGCTTGTGTGTTACGCAACTGTTTCCAGTGCGTGTGCATGCGGCAGGTTTCGAAAATGACTGCACGAGAAGCAGCGAATGAGTTTGTTCTGCTGCACAGCAATTACAAGACGGCTTGCTCCTTTATGCAGACGATCTGACGCTGCCTTCTACATAAGGGGCGTTTTCGACCAAGGAGGTTCTTGTTTTCAACGTACCAGCAGAACGGAGTGAGTGTAATTTTACGGTGCACTGATGTAACTTCATAGGGCGAAAGCCTTAGGTCCTCATCAAACGCGGATAAGTTGACAGTCGCTGGTGTCAACACTAGTGATACAAACAAAAAATGTGACATGATGACATCACCGCAAACGTCATCATCATATATAATAATGATGTGTGGTGTTTGACATCCCATAACCACTATATGATTATAAAGTACGCCGTAGAGGAAGGTTCCGGAAATTTCGGACTACTGGTATTCTTCAAGGTGCACTGATATCGCAGAATACACGGGCCCCTAGCGTTTCGCCTTCACTGAAATGCGACCGACCGCGAAAGTGATCGAACCCATGACCTGCAGCAGGTCAGCAGCTGGGCACCGCAACCACTACACCAGCGTGGTGGACCATTAACGTCATCATCACGCATAACAAAAGTTTGTGACGTCGTCATGATATCGCTCAAAAGAATAATGACGTCACAGCGAGACGTTACACACAGTCATCATACGACATCTTCGTTTGGGAAAACCTTCGGAGGGGGGTTAGGGGACTTTTTGGGCGTGTCATTTCACTCCGCCAGTATACGCGCGCTCGCACACTTCGACAGTGACGCACTCATTGCGCTGCGGACGACAACGACTGCAGCGACGATGTGGGCCAGACCCGGTAATTGGGTCGGGCCCGGCTGCAACCCGCTCGACGTCGTCTTAGAGCCCGCACTGAAGAGAGTGCAACGAGAACACCCTCCCACCGCCGCACTTTCTCGAGAGTGTGAGTGTTAGGGCCAAACCTCATAAGCGCGAAAATGCACGCGACAGCGACGAGCGATGCTACGAGCGACGAAACAGGGCGTTCGCGCGACGTGTCGCGTGCTCGTTTTCGCGCAATCGCTCGGTTCTCCAGATTTGGCAAACCGTCGCTCATCGCCCGGAAGTGCTGGGCTCAAGCAGCCAATAGCGAAATACCGGAAACGACAAAGACTACGTGGGTGCACGTGACCCTGCCCGAGTCACGTATGCGCAACAAGAAATAACGCAATGTTTATTACGCATGTACGTATAAATAGTGCTACAAGGCAATAATAAACACTTTCAGTTTCATTACACAACAATATATCTTATTTTTAAATTGCATACCGCTCACTACGCGGCTTTCTTGGTGCGAGTAGACGGCCGCATGCCAGCAACAGTGGAGTTCACCCACCGAAGCCGTCGCGTGAATGAGGTTTGCCTGCGCAAGCGACTGATCGCGCGAAGACGATCTACGTCGCGTCGCTCGTCGCTGTCGCGTGCGTTTTCACGCTTATGAGGTTTGGCCCTTACTTTCCGCCGGTACGTTGAACTACTCTCTTCGGAGAGCGCGATCACACGACGATCGCTGGCGTCGGACGCCGCGTTTCCCTCGCGCGTAAAAGCAGCAGTCGCTGACAAGCGCGAGCCAGCGCGCGCGCTGGAACGAGCGCGGCGGAGCGCGGCGGTAATAACCGGCGGAATTCAGTTCGACGCCCGTATTACGACCCCGCCAGCGCGCCTTTTGTTTTCAGCATGCACGACGCGCTGATTAATTGCGTCCGAGAGGCCCAGATTTCTCGTCTGACGAGAGCATGACCGTGTGTTCTGGAACAGGAAACAGGAGCACTTTTATGGTTAACGAGAAAGGTGTCATAGAACGTAAGTATAAGTCGGCGTGCTGACCACAAGATGATCCATGGCTAGTTCTTTAGATTGGATTGGATTAACTTTTATTTGGTCCTCTAAAACACAGATCAATGTGTTGCGGGCAGCTCCCACGTGGGGACTGAGATGCCAAGCTCCTCAGCCGCCTCGCGGGCTTGGTGGACAGCCCAGAGCTAGAGAACTTGACAGAAATTCTTAAAAGTACTAATTAAGCTGGATAAGCAGCCACCATCACAACCAAAGATCTAACGAACGCGTGACATGATCACCGTTGAATAAATAAAGTACCAGTGGAACAAGGGATTTTAGAAAAAAATTGGCAGCATATGAATGATGGAGAGTGGGGCGAAGCATTCGTCCGTCCATTCGTTCTTGCTTCCGTCCGTCCATGCGTCCGTCTGTGTGACCGTCCATGCGTCCATCCGCCCATCCGTGCGTGCGTCTGTTCGTGCGTCCATCCATGCATCTGTCTGTGTGTTCGTTCGTCCATCTATTCAAAACTCCAAGTACCACCATCTCGCATCTTTTCATCATATATTCCACATATAGAAGCACCGCCATCCAGCGGACATTCCAAGGACTAAACGAGAGGTGGCACACGCACACTGTCTTACGGCTTGCGCTTCGGGTCTACTTCCCACCTTTAACCACCTCGAGTTCATGGTATATACAAGTTTACTGTATTCATGGCACTGCGGCCCAACGCTCGCTAAACCTTTCTAGAACTAAGGAGGTTACACCCAGCGAGTATAATGTAGCAACCTTTCCTTGACAGGTAGTGCTCAATGTGCATGCCAAAGGCTGCTAATGGAGATCGCAGCACGCGCGTTAACTAAAAGCCAAATGCTCCTGTCTCTCATTCCCCATTTGCAGTCATCAATATGTACATTGAGCACTATTCTTTATTGTTCAACAACACACAAAAGAAATCTCTCACCGGCACCACCTTGGAGGTCAAAACGTTATACTTGTTACACACTACGACGCCTACAAGGGACGAACAGGTGTCGTTATAAGAAGCTTCGCCCCTAATAAGGAAACGAAGGATTAAAAATAATCGCTGGCGGCTAGTGACGTGGTATGCCATGGGGTTAATACATAAGCGAAACGTAATTGCTTTCTTGGTTTGCTCCACCAACGCAGCGCGGGACATTGACATGGTGCAACTACTCAGGATGTGCTATACTATATACAAGTTCGCTACTCCAGCTCCACCGCCGAGTAGTAGCACACCGCGTAATAACACGTTGCTGCACATGCGCATCGCCACGTCAGCTATGGCAGCGTGTATTAGCACATCGGTACACTCGGACATCGCTATACTATGTAGCGCCACCGCCGTGTATTATCACATCACTCCCACTCAAATCGTTATCCAAGCAACACCGCCGTCTCTTAGCACATCGGTACACACGCACATCGCTACAGCAGCGCCAACACTGGTGGCACCTTAGCGCGCGCAACACGTTTGTCGTTACCCGGCCTTCTCCAGTTTTAAAGGGCTCCGTAATAAATGACTGGTACATTTTGTTGCTCGTACTTCGTCTCCGCCCCGTTTTCATTCCGTACTCGAAAGACCTTCAACCATCAATAAATCTACCTACATCCCGGTCACGCGGTTAACAACGCTATCGCTTTCGTTATTATTTTTTTATTTTGTTGTTTGAGCTCACGCGCTCTTTTTAATCGCTTGTGACACGCTTCGAGACGTTGTTATACATGGCCACTCGACGGCGGCATGTAGGAACGCGGCCGGCTTGAATGAATTAACGAATCAAGAGAAGGAACAAAAAGGAATAAACGAATGTAGATAAGCGACGTAGGTGGTAATAAGCGGCCGCTTTGCTCGTGACGTTGCTTGCGCTTTGTTCCCCTTCGGGGATAATTACGAGAGGGACGGATACAAATGGCGACAGTCGCCCGGCTTAGTCTATTTTTTGTTTTTTTTTCTATAATGCACCATACAGTAGCTTTTGCTTCGTACACTTTGTTTTTTTTTTTCCCCTTTGCGGTGCGTTTTCGTGACGGAACTGCCACAATCACTCATGCCCGTTTACGAGGGTTGTAAGAGTACTCCGCCTCCTTAGGCAAGTGCCAAGTGGCCTGTGATTGAGTGACCTCTTCGTAACCGGGACAGTTGAAACGTTCTTTCTTTCTTTCTTTCTTTCTTTCTTTTTCTTTCTTTCTTTCTTTCTTTCTTTCTTTCTTTCTTTCTTTCTTCTTTCTTTCTTTCTTTCTTTCTTTATTTCCTTCCTTCCTTCCTTCTTTCTTTCTTTCTTTCCCCCTTTCTTTATTTCTTTCCTTCTTACTTACT